TCCTTCTTTATTATATTAATTTGTATTAAAAAAAAGGTTGAATTTTATTCAATTAAAATTATTCATGTAATATTAATAATAAAATTAATATCAATTTTTATAATTTTTTAAATATTATATTAACATAAAAAAATCAATTATACCCTGAATATATGCCTACGAATACTGGTTAAAAAATCCTTTTATAATTTGAGTAGGAAATCTCCTGATGCATTTCCTAGGTACATACTGCCCACAATATTTGGAAGTCCATTGAACTACCGACTAATCTGGATTTGAGTCAGATAGGATCCAACAGGTGATAAAACTTTCCTTCACGAGTTTTAACATAATTACATTTTCAGGACTTGAAATCAAAATCTCTAATTAACTCTCTTGCCAACTCATCCACCCGCTTGTGGGTACTATCACAAGTATTAAATAGTCAAAATTAGAACTTTCAAGTGCCAGCGCACCCTGTATTCATCTTCCTAAAGTCTAAATAAATTAAGGATAATTATTAGGATGCCGGCAGTCTTCTAGACAGATTGAGGCCAAACGGTACGTGTCACCCAAAGTCCATTAATTTCTTTTGCCTTTGTTATGGTTAAACTAATTATTGGTCCCTTAATTTAGCAATTTAAACTTATTTCAGTTGCTCATTTTTTTTCAACTTTTTTTTTATTTTCCAAACTTTATTTAGAATTTAAAGCATGTCAGGGCTTAAATTATTTTAAATTTCAATACTTATATTAATTATTGAGACTTAGATTTTTAAAAATTTTTTCCATTGACTTGGGACCAATTGGTACTTATAGCATTACCAATAAATTAATCCACGCGGTGATGTTGAATAACACCTAGCAATGCCAATTTGGCATTTAAAATCGATGCGAACAATCAGAAGCACTAAAATTGTTAGTTTATTATTATTATTATTATATTAATTGCACAACAGAAGAAAATTTTTTTTAATCTTTTATTTCACCCCACTCGCATATCATGTAAATTGAATTTAAAATTTTTTACTTTAAAAAAAATTACTATTAAGTTATTTAAGTCGTTGGCAGAAACACTAAAAATATTAAAACATTGAAATAATAGTTATAAGTGACATGTAAAATGTTTTGCATAGATTTGATTTATTTAGTGATTATAATTAAACATTTTAATATTGATATCATGATTTTCACTTTTTTATTTGAAATTTTAAAGGTTGCAATTTCGATATTTGCTTGTGTGAATTGCAAACTTTATAACTATTAATGAATAAAAAACCACTCTAATACATGATAGGCTACGCTTCACTTTTTTATAAATTATATACGTATCAAGAACATCTTCTCTATATAATATAAACCCTCTGTCCGTTGGTGCTGAACCCAACAACCCCTTCCATTTCCCCTTTCTCTATCTTCTTTTTTCTTTAATTGAGGGCAGTTGATATTAGTTTAGTTTCAAAGAGATTAAACATGAAGATTGATGTCCAAGTAATCTCCAACCAAGACATTAGACCATCTTCTCCGACTCCGCTCCACCTCCGCCGCTACCAACTCTCCTTTCTTGATCAAATCGCGCCCCCTAGTTTCATGCCTTCGGTTATGTTCTATCCCAGAGAGAACATCACCAACAGTCTAGAACCAGCTGAGAAGTTAAAGAAATCTTTGTCTGAAGCTTTAACTATCTTTTACCCGTTAGCAGGACGTATCAAGGACAATGCTTACGTCGACTGCAACGACCAAGGTGTGTACTTTGTCGAAGCTAAGGCTAATTGCAACATGTCTGACATTCTCGATTGTCGAGATCCCGCTGACAATAACACCTTCATTCCTCTTGAACTCGATGGTGGTGATGAGTTACCCCTCATGGTCCAACTCACCCATTTGGAGTGCGGCGGCCTGGTGCTCTCCGTTGGTATGTCACATAAGGTTAGTGATGCCTTATCGTTCTTCATGTTTATCAACTCCTGGGCTTCCATGGCTCGTGGGAACGCTGACATAATAAATATTCCTCCTTTTCATTCCGCCGTACTGTTTCCACCAAAAGATATATCCGGATTTCATCCGAGGACTGGAATTGTTAAGGAGAATATTATGACCAAAAGGTTTGTGTTCGACGCATCTTCAGTGGCGATACTACGAGAGAAATATGCTTATAACGGAAAGCGTCCAACTCGGGTGGAGGCTTTATCTTCCTTCATATGGAACCGGTTCATGGTCGCCACACAACCAAAAACTGATGAGGGAAAGCTGTACACCGTGCTTCATGCAGTGAACTTGCGACCGCGAATGAACCCTCCACTTCCGAACTACTATTTCGGAAACCTTAGCCGGGTGGCAGTCACAGCGCCGCAAAGAGTTGGAGAAGATGAATTTCGTAGCATTGTTCGCAAGATGAGCGAGGCTGTAAAGAAAGTGGATGCAGAGTATGTAAAGAAACTCCAGGAAACGAACGGGCACCTGGATTTCATCAAAAAGAGAGGTCAAAGTGTCATGAAAGGGGAGGTGGTGAGTTTTAGCTTCACCAGTTTGTGTAGATTTCCCGTATACGAAGCTGACTTTGGATGGGGAAAGCCTGTGTGGGTTGCGGCAGCCCGCCTGCCTTTCAAGAATTTGGTTAATTTCTTCGACACTAAAAGTGGGGATGGGATAGAGGCGTGGATCAACTTGAAGGGGGAAGACATGGTCAAGTTTGAAACAGACAAAGAGCTCCTATCCTATGTTAATTCTTCGTCCCCTAATGTCAAAGTTTCTGGTGCTAACTAATAGTGTCGTTTTTTCATTTTTCTTCCAGTGAGAAGTGCTTAGTGAAAATGACATTTTCTGTCACATATGGTATCAATTAATTAAGTTTGTAAAGTTATCTCTAATAGGATAATTTAATGATTAAAAATTTGAGATTTTAAATAAGAGATTTCAAATTCGACCATTGAATCAAAAGAAATTTGATAATAGAAAAAATTATATCTTCTTATATAGTTCATAATTAAATATGTCAAAAAAAGAATTAAGTTCATAAAGTTAAAAAAAATAAAAAGTATTAGTATCTTAGTCTTTTTATACTGCCCTTCACTCAATGTTTGGAAATTTATTGGTTCACCCATTTTGTCAATGCAAAAATAATTGGTTGAATAACCCATAGTTCGGTTCGAAACTGACTGTTTCGCCCCTCTTAAAAATGCAAAAAATGAGTGGACTGGATGAAAGCCTCGTGGTTGCTTGATTATCCTATATAAGTTTCAGGACGGACGGAACACTTCACGTGCAAAAACATAGACTTTCAGATGTGGCAATGACCATACTCAACTTGCTACATCTCATTCTATTTTTTGGCCTAAGAAGTCTATTGTGTCTCTGTTTCCTCGTGTGCAAAACTTTTACATTTTCTGTTTACAAATTACAAAGGCAACAAGCTAGCAACTTGCAGAGATTCAATTCCATAAATCTCTCTCCCTTATTATCTTCACTTCTATATCTATACAAATATAATTAAAATATCACAATAAATTATAAATTTATAGTTATAAATATGTTATTAAATAAATATATATAATATTAAATATAAATTCTTAAATAAAAAAATTAAATATATAATAATACATTATTGCATAACATTATAATTATATAATTTTTCATTTTAAATATCTTATCGCTTCTCCACATTCAATGTAAATGTACCAACCAAAAAATATTCTATGTCCCCTTAGATGGAAACAATTTACACCAAGGAACTTTACTTACAATGACTTGGGAAGAATTTGAGTTTTCCGTAACATGGCACCAGAATTCCTTTGACTATATACATCCTCTCTTTTTTTTTTCTTTTTTCTTTTTTTCTCTTTTTTCAACAGATTCCTCCAGACATCAAAAGCATTGAAAAAATATTGTTGATCCGCACTAATTTTGAGAGGCTAATTAAAAAACCATAACGAAAGTTGCATCTGAGAAATATTTGAATAGAAATTAATTTATGTTTTAATTTAAAAATACAACCTAGGAAAGAACTACTAATTACAAGTAATTAATTAGCATATATGGCAATCTTGTCGTAGTACGTAGTGGCTGTGGTAGCACCAGTCCTATGACAATGGCAATTCCTTAAGCCTGTTATTGACTTTAGAAATTAGAATTTATATGTAGCAAAATACTTGAAACAGCCATTATGCAGCAAGTACTACAAATATTCGCGTTGGAGTTTGAATTAGCATCATTATTGATCACTTCCTAATTAATTAGTATGTGCCATATCTTATGCTTAATTAAATTGAGGAGAATAGAGAGGAGAGGAAGGGAGTAGAGGAAAATTATATCCTTCAATTCCTCTCCATTTCCTCTCATCCATTCCCGTTATTTGGATAAATAACTAACTTAAAAAAAAATAATAATAATAAAGGGAATTTTTTTTCCTCTCCTCTTCTCTAAGTTTTTTTGGTAATCAAATAAAAAAATGATTGCTACACATTAGTTTTAACACATTTTTGATACACTTTTAGTTCAATTATTAAAAATATAATATAAATATAATTAATTTAGTTAGTTCTTGTATCTTATATGTATTATTGTTACACATTAGTTTTAACACATTTTTGATACACTTTTAGTTCAATTATTAAAAATATAATATAAATACAATTAATTTAGTTAGTTCTTGTATCTTATATGTATTATTGTATCTTTAAATTTATTTATCTTTAATTTTATATTAAAAATAATAATTTTTAA